AATTGGTGTCTTCAAAATACGGTCGTCCTCATGTATGGAGCCCAAAATTAATACAGATTGGATTGGGATTGAACACACAAAGTATCCATTCATGTTAAATTACTACTGGCAATGTCAACAACACAGATTGGAATTTTTTTTTTAATCTATTAAGGTAGCAAGATTAATAATTGGCAAAATGAAATTACTTGACATGTTAATATAAGCCATTAAAGTATCATTTACAGAGCACTTAATTTCACGCTGAAGTTCAAAGCCTCATTCCCAGCATGAACATTTGGATTTTTTAGAGGATGTATTCACTGTACATGGATCGTTTACTTCTCTGTGATGCATACATATTTTCATTCCGATTCCAGCAGAACCGTGTATTTTTAATGCTGAATACCATTTCATTATTTTCCACATTAATTCCTGATTCCTGAATTACCGTCAGACGCAATGTAATTCTATTTGTACAAGTATAACCTACCTAGCAATGGGTGAGGGTAGGACAAAACTATAAAAACTCAAAAGAACACCATATAATATTGAAAAAGTCATAGGCAAATTTGCAACAGCTTTTTTTTAAATATAGCGGATTGAGTGTGGCTGGGTACAAACAAGGGTAGCTAGGAGAACTATTAAAGACAGTAGAGAAACATGGATTTCCAGCTGAAAAAAGATGATTTTTCAGAGAAAATGGACCAAAACAGAGATGGTACGTGTGTGGCACACAAACCTGAGCCTATTGTATAGATGCTCAGATATAACCTTGTGAAGTTTTCACAGTAGAGGCCCAAAGTAAAATTCTGAAACTTTTTATTCAAATAAACCATCTGAAATGAGAACACAAAATTTCTCGGTGCCAAGTTTACACAGGGAGAAGGAACACTGATATAGTGTGTGTATTTTTCTCTGTTCTATACAATTCTATAAATACAGTTAGAATAAATATCAACATTAAGGCTGTTTCAGCTGAATTCCTATTTTGCACTACCCATAAAGCTACTGTTACTGCACATATATGCAATGCCTTATGGGAGAGGACCTTCCACTGTACATACAGTAATTGAAAACTATTATCACACTGAAAACTGAATAAATTATATGTCCTTTTTTAAAAATATTTTAACAATATTATTAGAATTTATATCATATATACATATTTTACATTATATTTTTGTGCCAGACATTTCTGGACATTGAAGTAACTGCTGTTCTCCTGACTTTTTTCGTTTTCGTTATATTATCACTAAAGGTATAAACTAGCAGCCTGTCGGCTGATATAGCTCCGCTGTTTGTGATGCATGCTCTGAAAGCAATGACTAAGAAGCAATTTAAACTTAATGCTAGTTGCTTTAATATCGCAAGACACCAACTTTCTTGATTTTGTTGCAGAGAATATTTCACTAAAAGTAGAGAATTGAAGATATCTTTACGAAATGAACAAATCTAATAGAGGTCTCCCCAAGCTCCATGTGTATCAAAGAATTTGGACTACTATTATGTTTTTGATGAAAAATGATGAAAATATTTGCTAAAAATAGAGAATTAAAGATGTTGACAGAAAGTGAACAAATCATACAGAGGTCCACCCAAGGTACCTACAAATAAAGCAATCAGGTTAGAGGTTTTCAAGAACAAGTTGAAATTTTTTTACTAAACATGACAAAAATATTCACTAAAATTAGAGATTTGAAGATATCGTCATGAAATTACCAAATCTGACAGAGGTCCACCTGATAAACCTACATATACAATATCAAAGCAATTGGACAAGCAATTTTCAAGGAGAAGTTAAAAATATAATTTTTTCACCAAAAAAAAAATATTCATCAAAATTAGAGAATTGAAGATGTCGTCACAAAATCAACAAATCTGACAGAGGTCCACCTGATGTACCTGCATATACAATATCAAAGCAATCAGACTAGCAGTTTTCAAGGAGAAGTCCGCTCGACTTCGTCGACAGCAGAGCTAAAAAAATTAAAGACACTAATTACACACAAAATTTCACTGACAATTTGGTTGAGAAAATATGGAGTTATGAACTTGTTGAAAATTAGATATGTTCATCATGGTTGCAAGGAAGCAAAATAACTCTCAACCAAGATAAACCAATGCAATTTTTTGGAAAGGCTATTTTTTTTTTTTTGCGTGGTAGTTAATTATATGGCTATTTGCTAGGAGTCAACAACATGCTTTCGTTCCCTGCCATACATTACTCAGTATGTGTTAGTGTATATATTGGAATAACACACTGATCTCAATACTGTACTGCACTTCAGAACTACTGATGAAAACAAGGAATGCAATTACTTAATTGTTCACTGGAAACCTAAAATTAGAAAGTTCTCAAATTATGAATTGACGTTTTGATTCACCTCTGCAATTATACGGAATGGATAGACAAATGTGGGCAGACAGGGATGAAGTAAAGTTCCAAATGTGCTGCAATTCATGGTTTGCAGGTTGTCGAATTTTATACCTTCACAAAAAAAGTGATGCACTGTGATACTTTAAGTAAGGAGTGATGAGATAAACAGAGGATATCTCATGAGTGACCTCACAATATTAGATTTATTAAATGAGTTTACTGTAGTAATTTTCCTTCATTTAAATTACAACACTCTGTTATTGTAGGGTCAGGAATTTGATATCATGTTTATCCCATGTATCGATTTCCCAGCTTTTAGAGGACTAAAATCTATTGCAGTGATTGTAATTTTCTAGCACATATTCGCGACATAGTAGTTGATTTTAAGATGTCTTAAATATATGGAGCTTTATATCATGTATTTCAGCTGACATCTTAGACTGACGGCAGTCCTCGGGCCTAATGTAATTTTGTATCCTAGACATTCAAACAGTAAAGGCGTTTGATGGGATGATGGGAAATGCGCATTTCACGCGAGGGACTTTTAACAGCACTCCATACTTCCTGTTCCGACGTTTACAATTTATTCACACCTATTACGTTTATACACAATATTTAATAATAATAACAGATTAATATAAGGTACGACGACAGTCTACTGTCATCTGAAACTATCAGAAATATTAAAATTACTTAAAGCGAGAGAGTCGTAACCTGCGCATACATCAGATGGCCATAGCGTGTCATTGTTTACAAACAAGCGCATACCCATGAGCCTTTGCGTTTTTAGCGTGTGTTGTTATCGTCGCTTGGGACTCAATTCCATGCGCAGGTGACGACCCTCTCGCTTTAAAGTAGTGCTGGTGAACATAATGTAGTACTGTGGAATACTTTATTTTCGCTGGAATTAATTTTCACTGAAAAGGCTTTTTGGGCGTTTTGCTTGGAATTTATTTTCACTGATTTTTCATGAGTATAATGTGAAATATAGGGAAAAAATTATATTCGCTGGATTTTATTTTCACGGAATCATCCCTTCAGCGAAAATAGCGAATATAAATTCCAAGCGAAAATAAAGTATTCTACAGTATTATATAAAACCACTATTATCTTGAGTTATTGTCGTATTTTGTGATAATGATTATTACACAGTATGCACATACAAAATATTAGTACACTGCTTCATTACCATAATAATGAATAAAAGTCAATACCATATTTTGTCTATTAGAAGCACATCTTCAACAGAATTGCACATCAGTCAAATAGTATTAGTTATTATTAAATTCAAACATTACATTTTTTGATAAACATGCCTCTGTCATTTACATAAGTGTACACGCTTATAATTGAACAAATACGGTAGTATAGACAACACAAAGAAATTATTGACATAGTAAAGAAATATCACTAATCATTTATAATAATACAGAAATACAGAAAATTTACAGTTATCAACATGGCTATTAAAGGTGATTAAAGGTGACCTGAAAAATTACATTTCTGCATATTGAATCTCCACAATGAAAACTGTTTATAAGAAAATATATCATGTATAAATTTATGTTTTTTATTAAACATTTCAGATAAAAATCATAATATTCTTCACTTCATTGAGAATGTAACCGCTGAAGCCACTTTGCTGTACTATTATTAGTCAGTGGTGTGTTGTCTTGTGTTGTGTTGTTGATTGATAAATATTGTCAGATTATTAAAGTTTCATTTCAGGGATCGCATTAGCATTTTGGTGTAGCAAATCTTGGCGAGGAGATTCACAGAAATTGACAATATATTCTGTGTATCTCTATTACAAATGAGACCCCTTCTTGTCCCAAAACAGAGATCCTCAGTCTAATATTAAGGGTCTGACAAGCAGATTAAGGGGTTAACACAATCTCTGTTCCATATTATCATCTCATGCTAGCGCATTACCAGTAATCTATAATCTTGTCTCTCAACACAAGATAAAACACAGTCCCTCGAAATGAATCAAATAACAGTTCAACAAAAACAAAGACTCCACACTAGGGGAAACAGCCCCCTCATTCTTCTAGCACAGGGACTGCACATACTGTTTTTTTCATATTAAATAGACTATAAATGGAAAGGTATGTACACATTAGTTTGTATTAGGTCAACATTCATATCACTAAACCCTGCCAAATGAAAAGAAAATAATCACAATACGAACGGCACGACTAATAATACAATTGTTTGCTGACCACTTCCATTGTCGCAGAGTGACAAATGAAAAAAAACACCTCAATACAACAATTGACATGTTAAAATCTGAATAATTACGTCGAAATGTGCGCAGTTTTCGTAAGAATGATTGGTTATTGAGGAGAGTAAATTCATAATTGACCCTAGTAACTGTTACTACAATACCGATGCATTAAAAACAAACCGCACATATCAACATCGACCGTGTATTGTGTCGTACGGTCCTTTGAATGATGGGCGGTTAGTAAACGTTGACCTGCTCATTCAGCTTATAAACACCGACCACTAGCCTGAATTAGCAGATCCCTTACAAATACGAATTACTATTTTCATTTTAGGCAATGAGGCGTGCTGTAGTTCAGGAACGCTCGGCCAATAACACGTAATGCACACTATTGGTTTCATACATAGCACTTACCCGCTCCGTTTTCTCGTATTCGAGGTCGTATTTCTCGTATCCTTGTTACTTTTTCGAGGCGAATTCGCACAAAACTTCGTTTCAACTTCGTCCAATAAGTCATCGATGTCGTCATCCATTATCTTAAGTGACTAATTTAAACGTAGTCCAGCAGAACTTACACACAAAATAGTTGTTTCATAATCAGTCTGTATGAACGTAGTGTGTAATAATACTGACCTTTGACATTCACATCTTCAGCCGAAAGAGGGCGCACTGGAATATTATTATTTTAGTTTGACCGTGTCGTCGACAGGCCGAGGCCTGACCCAAGTAAGCAAGCGCATTCGTGACATACCCAGAAAATAAAACAAAAATAACCAAAAAATTGTTCTGAAGATTTTATTTTCTCGTTACAACGAGATTTTCTTATTATAACGGGGTTTTCCCTTGCTATAGCGAGTTTATTTTTCTCGTTATAACGATTTTTTCTTTCGTCGCTAACGTGATTTTTATTATATTCCTCGGCGAGTAAGAAGTTATTACACACGCAGCTGAACTGACCATTCAATAATATTAATATCGTATTTATGTTTTATAAAATTTTGTTTTATAGACCTAAACATGCTTGCACCGTAAATGGATTACAATATAAAACGTGGGTAACTATACCACACATTGGAAGCTGGAATTTATAAAAACGCGAAAATATTGATTTAGTTACTTTACAGTTAATAGGTTATTAACTTTATAAACTGAAATATCCATTAAATACTCTACATCTATTTGAAAATACACACACACATTCATTCGTAAAGAGCAAATCGAATACAACTATTGTATATTTTCACGGTCACCATGGTGACATGATACGTATTGGCTTCTCGCTTTATCATATAGACAACGTGAAAACAGACAACACTGATTTTAAATTGCAGTTGAAATCCATATATGGAGAAACAGTCTGTAACATCAGCCATCCTTGAAAATAAAGTTACATCAATCTGTGAAAGATTTATACAAATGCACATTTCATTTCCAAGGTGAAATATACATTACAGGTATGATAACTAATTAATTTTGAAGTTCAATGGTAAACAAATGACAAATTCAACATACAACTACGGTTCTTGGCACTTAACGTATAAAATCGCAGTCCTCGCAGCACATCGTGTTTGATATGGACTTCCGGTGCGACGTATACAACGCTTGTAGAAAATATTGTAGGTATTTCTGATGGAACTGTTCGATACTCCCGTAAAGTGAAAATGTCGTTTGTATCGGACACGCCCACAGTCTTTGTTAGAGAAATGTACAAATACATCATGATGTACTAGTACATGTTTTTTTCCATGCACGTAGGATGTAGGGAAAATGGACAGCAACAGTTAATACAAAGAAGTCCATTTACTAATAGTAGTAGACGGCCATTTCCTGACTTTTTAGCTGTTCCACTTTCCGAGGGAAATTCTACTACAGTGACGACATTCAGCCAAGTAATTTTTTTTCTCGTTGATCATTTTTGGTGCGGTTCTCAAGCTGATGATTGTTTAAAAAACATACTATCGATTGGTGATAGTCTCGATTGTGTGATAGTGAGGGTGCGTCAAATCCTGCATTTTGATTCGAGCCTAGTCTTCAATAAAACACCATGGTTACTTGACAGGTTGCAGAAGCGGCGGCACGACATTTTGCATAGGGCGAGATCTGCTCAACATCCATATTTTGAAATCTAGACTCTCTGAAACGCTATTTCCTGCATTTGAGGGGCAAATTTTGCTGACATACATAGAGGTGGATTTACGTGAAAAGTACACAAAGGTTTTCAGCATAATTCGGGGTGGGACGAGATTTAATGGGGCAAAAAACTTTCTTAACGTTTATTAAAGAATGGTCGGAAATACTTCAGTGTAACAAACTCTTGGAAGCTAAGGATAATAAGCCAAAAAGATTAAAAAAGGAAATCAAAACAAAATTACAAGTTATTTATATTAAAAAATGGAAGGCACAGTTAAATAAAGACAACAATCAAAATATTAGTAATAAACTGAAAACATATAAACAGGTTAGAAAGAATTACAAATCTGAAAACTATCTTAAATTTGTTGTAAACTATAAAATTCGATCAGCAATAACAAAATTAAGGATATCAAGTCACAGTTTACCAATAGAACAAGGTCGCTACAAAAACATTCCACAATGCATTACACTAATGCCAATATTGTTTCGTATAGAGTACATTTATTTGATAAAATTAGCTTTCCAGAGTTTGAAAAAACTTAATGAAGAATGTAATTTCATATATTTATTAAGTGCTTTAGACACTTATTCTATTATACTTTTAGCCAAATATGTATATTCTATTTTGAAAGTAGTTGATAGTTATAGTTCTGTTCAGTGACCATATTGCTGCATGGACCATATATGGTGTTGTGTCAATAAATTGTTGTTGTTGTAATATGTAATATCATGAGTTTATATACAGACACCACCACCTTCACTGTGACATCCGGCCTCTGAATCAGTGGCCTACATACAGGTTGCAGTTCAGTCATAATGCGTATTGTATGCACTAGCTCGCTGGTAACATCAGTAGCCTCAAGCAATACATTTACACGTGTCCATTTAATCGGGTTGTGTGCGATATTCACCAACTCATGGTTATATATATATATATATATATATATATATATATATATATATATATATATATATATATATATATATATTCCTTGTGTTATTCTATTGTTCGCATTTCACCAATTAGATGTTAGTCTTGCATCGGGGTCTCAAGGTATTATTGGACACTTGGCTAAATAGTCCTCCAATATTACAGCTGGGTTTGATGGATTCATCTGATATCCCCGTCTTACGTCTCCCGTATGAGCTGTGTTGAATGTCTCGAGGAAAGTTCAGGTCTCTGATCTTAAAACCACGTTCTGAAACTGACATGACTAGGTCTTTACACATGGCGAAATACATTCCCAGAAATATTAATTTCAAACAAAAGAAAAAGAAAGTAAATCAAGTCCTCACACTGATCTACTGACACCTGCGTTGTAGTCAATAGGGGCTTTCTGGCAAACGTGATCTTGTAGCTGTGTTCAACTAGTGGAAGGTTTCACGGTTCCTTAGTGATCACTGACCAATTTGCTATGAAAGGTGTGACACCACAGGGGGACGGGAACCACTCATATGAATGAATCTATACCCCGGTAACACGTTATTACTGACACCGTGACTTCAAAATTGTGGCTTGTCGACACTTGATGCCAAACCCTGACATGGTTATTTTCGCCACCCATATGAACAGACCGCCAATGGTGACACTAGTTAAATTAGAATAGATTACCCCTAATGTGGCCACCATATCCAGTACAGCTCCCTAAAGAGACATGTGTACTATCACCCAGTTTCCTGACTTTGGTCTCTGACAATTTATGTAAAATCACGCTGCCTCCTAATGTCCCCCTTGCTAAAGAAATGCACTTCTGGGTTCATCACCAGTGCTGAATGTAATGGTTCAAAGTTCCTTCTGCAATCAGACTTACCACCAGTAATACGATAGTAATGTTCCAACATTGTCACAATTTATAATTCTCTCTGTCATTTTAAAGGGCTCGACTATCATAAGCGATCAAGTGTGTGACCTGAAACACTACACCCTTGCTGATGCAGGGACATGTCGCAGCTGACTCAAATTCTGAGTGACACTCGTGACTTTTTGATACTGGCCAGGTACTTCCACCAATGCTTTTTCAGTAGAATTCTGACCCGAGAGTGAAAACTGTTGGCGAATTTCGATAGTGACAATTTTGAGAGTGACTCAAGTACTGTCATGTCTGTGTCAGTATAAGTGCTAAAACTCTGTTTCTTACTCTTAGATTTGGATTTGTGCTTTTTGAGCCCTTATGGGAAAAATACTGCTACACTACTTATTGTGATATTCTTCCTGTGTAATATCCCAATTGTATGGCTGCAATAGTTATACGTGTGTCTGTCCATGTAAAGCTTAGTTTGAATTCCTTTCAAATATATGCCTCTCTAGTTTTTTGTACTATTTATTTAGCTGCGTGTGGAACAATATGACATCAGCTTCTGGCAAATTATTTACGCTGTGCATTTGAAATCTCGAATGATTTTCCCAAAACATTTCCACAATTTTCACGCGAACTCACGTGCAAGTTGCCATCCATCGGGAACTGTGTAACACGGTAATAGTAATTTCGCTGTACGTAATTATATGTGTTGGTACACAGTCCCTCTATCGATAGAGGGACTGTGGTTGGTAGTACTTTGCATTTCAGCCACCAAGTCTACCGGCTCGAATGTTTCAAAACTGATAACAATCACACCAATGTTTATTCTGAACATATTTCAATGCAAAACGTATGCTCAGATTAAAACGGGTGTAGCCATACGAGATAACCCACCACTCGGCCTAATTCGGGTAGTTATCACAAAATAACCAGCATCCAAATAGATCTGACAAGCAACTGCATAAACACTATTAGATAAATTTAATCTGAGTTCATATTCAGTTTCTTGTCGTCTTATTGTTTCGTACACCAAAACCCTAACATTTCCAGCCACGTCGCTGACCGTTTTAATATGTGCATCGCTACTTGAAGGGAACTGATCAGATCAAACACTTTTTTGTGGGTGCGCTGTTCAGCTAAATGTAAACAGATTGATCGAGACGATCGCACAGCATTTATAAAGTTACTGCATCATAATAAGCTGCACTAGAAATATGGAATGTATTGGGAACGGAATGACCACACGAACAACTGTATGTAGCATTACACATACCCATATAGCGATTGTGGTCTGCCGTGTGAAACAGAACGAGTACATACTATAAAGGGGTTCATTATTCACAGGGGTTTAATTTTGCTTATTTCGCTGACTGGAAAATGCGCTAAATTAAAACCCCAGTGAATATGTAACATTTAGCATAGAACACATTACCGTGAATATGCCTGAAATGGTAAATCAGCGAAATTTAAACCCAGTGAAAATTAGTCATTTTACAGTACTTTTTTGATAACTTTGCAATTTGCTACATTGCAAATTAAATGAATGGATGTTTTTTTAATCTATATTAATGACAGAATATACTTTTAATAGAATAGTTATACTGCAACATATCGTGAGTGAATGTTTGTTGTATTTCCATTGTTTGATTTTTTAAATCTGATTTTG